GTGGAACTGATAAAATGGGGTGTTAAGACTGCTGAGTCGAGCGATACTCATCCTACCACCGAGACTGTGTTGCTCCGCGGGGACGCCCGCTAAGCATGAGTACCGACCAGCTGCTGCAGATCTTGACAGCCCTGGCCTGTCTGTGTGGGTAAGCACAGTGTTTTGATAGGAAGCAACTGAGAGAACAAACTTTTTAATATCCTTTTAGTGCTCCTTTAATTCCCCTTTTATGTTTATAGTTTTTTTTTTCCCTTTAGTTTCCCTTTTTACTAACCAATATTGGGTTATCCATAATATTGTGTTAAGATCATTTTTGGTATCCCTTTTCACTAGTTAATACTGTATTAAATGCTGTTTGTAGTATGTTTTAGTGCCACCCGATAACGTAGTTATTTTGTATCCTTTTTTAGGTTTTTAATTCCTCTTGATAAGTTTATCATTATTACTTCTATTCTCACTGTAATAAAGATATTTTGTGTGTTTGAGCATTTTTTTTGGCACTTGTCTTTATTCCGGACATGTATCCAAACGAACTGCTACAACGGGGCTGGCATGGGGTCAGCAGCTGAAGTCTTGAAGAGCAAGGACAGATGGAGGGGAGAGAGAGAAGAAGGCATCTGTGAGGCTTGGGTGAACTAGACAGTGAGGAGAGAGGAGATTACATCACTACAGTGAAAGGAAGAGGTGGACATGCCTGTTCAGTTCATTCTGCTCACAGTCAGTAGCTGAGAAATCTACTCCTTAACAGCATAAGCAACCTTTGATTAAGAGAACACAATTATGAAGGAAAGAGGATGCCTTCAGACACTTGCAACCAAGAGAAGTAGTGCCTACTGCTCTGTCTCCTTTCTTCCTGTGGGGCTGCTGGGAGTCAGGACAGTTGATCTGAGTTGGATGGTTTTTTTCTCTGTGATCACTGGTGTCAGAAAGGAAAGGTATTAGGAATTTGACAGTGTAGGTTATCATTTTGTTTCTGGTCCCTGTCTAATAAGTGGGAATGCTGGAACATGATGCATATTTGACAAGTCTGCTTTTGGCCTGGAGAACTGCTCCTCTATTTTCCTGCCCTGCTGTAGTTTAGCTAATGAGCTGTTGGCATGCTTGCTCCTCTTGGGAACAGGGAGCTTTGGATACCCACACCTCTGTGATGCTGCCCAACCCCTTAGCATGGAGCTTCCAACCCTGCAGCAAGGAGGAGCTGTTCCAGAAGAACTTTGCCAGGTTGCCAGTACTTTCATTTTTGCTAACACTGCCTGCATGCTGATTTTCACCAGCATTAGTGCATTGGGGGGATTCTTGCATTTCTGACTGAACTGCTATGCCTCAGTTATGCCTGCATTGTGATTATTCCCATTTCATACAACTCTGGAGCTCAGAATTTATCAGGGCTGAACACTTCTGAAGAAAATTATCTGAGGAAGACAAGAGGCACTCCGATATGTCAAAGAACAGACTGTGACTATTGATGTATTTGGTGCCATGTTTTCAAACTGCTGCCTGCTGGGAGCCACATCCATCTGTCTTTAGTTTTTTCTTCCTCCAGAAATATGTACTAAGTGCCATCTGATTTACTTAGAACGAATGAAACAACCACTGTTGAAGGAAAAATCTAATGCAATTCAGGTCATCCTAACTTCAGTGGGTAAGACACCTGAAGGCTTTGATACTATTACTGAGGATATTAGAACTGAAGTTTTAAATACAGCATTTAGAATAAACTTATGAAGTTGTTTAGCCTGAGTGGAAAATAGGATTGATGCAGGAAAATCCTGATAGTATCAAGACAGAGGTTAGAAGTTTGATGATGATGATTATTCTTCTTATAATCTTATAATATTCTTATTACCAGGCTGCCTTTATGAAGGTACCAATGAGAAATCATATTGGTTTCCCTGTACAACTGCAGTTCCTGAAAAACCGCATTGCTCATAAGCATCTTGAACATCCAGTGCAATCTGCCAAAATCTGTAGTCCCAATGTTCTACCAGAAGGGAATATATGTATATCCTATTTTTTTTCTTCTGCCTTAGGAGCCCAGTGTTAGCCAATGCAATTTGCCTTGAGAGGCAAGAATTTCAAAGGGCCACACCCACATATTTCTGATACCATCCATGGAAATTAGCATTTCTGACAGACCAGTGCAAATCTATTATTTTTATCTGTGAATGCATTGTGGTTTCTGTTTCGTTGTTAGGGGGTTTTCTTTGCTTGTTTTCTAGTGAACTTAGCCAACATGCAGTTTCTGTTGCCCTGCTTATGCTGTAGAAGGTCCAAATTCTGTGGTGTTACTTGTACATTGTAAATAATGTGCACACATTTTAACCAGATATTGTACAGCCTTGTGAGAGTCAGAGAAGTCCCTCTGACTATCTCAGATGGGATCATTTGCACTCTATAGAGTGCAGCACATGAGTCCTGTCAGCAGGAAGATGCATTAGACTCATTCTGCTTGCCCTTTCCCATAGGTTTGCTCTGTGCATCCCTTCTAAGACAGTCTAAGTATGCTGTTTATGGATGTGATTTTTTGCTACCAAAATAATAATGCTATCACTAATTCTACTCAGATGTGCTGACACTAATAAGTTCTCATATTGGTAAAAGCATATCTACTTCCAATAAGGAAGGTTTTGTCAAATAAGGGTGGTTTTTAGCAGTTTTCACACAGGGAAGAGAAAGGGATGGAAGAGGGGAGAGATATGTTGCCTTAGGTACACTGGTTTAGTTAAAGTAGCACCATTTTTGTGTGTAGACAAGAGCTTAGGAAATGTACAGGTCTTAGTCTGGGGGACAGGACTTTAAAGCATTCATTGAAGTCTAGTGTCAGTTTTCAAGGCTGAAGAATATTATTTTATTTAGGCTTCCAGACCAGCCTTGCTCCAGGAATGCACTTAGGTTGTTTTTAAAGCAAACATGAAATCAATAGCCTGGTGTTCTGCTCTGCTATTTCTTGCCAGAGCTTAAGGACCACACATGGGTTTTCCCTCCTCTTCGTCACACTGCCAGGCGTGCTCCCGGATAACGGCAGGCAGTTCTTCTGGATGAATGCGGAGAGGTTCCAAATGCCCAAACACGCACTGGACATCTGGGCAGTTTTTGCTGCAAAGTATTTTCCATCAGGCTTCCCTCCAGATATTGCCATGAAAGGACCAACTCACACCACCCTGTCACAGATTTTATCCAGCTTCTTACTTTAGTGGGAGTTTTATCTGAGCGAAGCTCAAATAGGAGCCTGTCGGCTTACCTCACCATTTATAATGCTCCAGGTGGAACCGAGGGCTGTGATTTTCAGTTTGACCTGGCAAACACCAGCCCAGAGAGCAATGGAGCACTGTGCCCTCCATCCCATCACTCCAGTGGTGGGCCTCAGCTCATGCTTGTCTGGATGCTTACTCGGTGCAGGAAAATAACTTACTTGTCTCCATCCTGTGCAGGGAACAGGGGCTTCACCTGGAGTAGCAGATTCTGAATGCTTGTCCGTGTAGGATTGACTTGCATATGGCTACCCACTCCTGACTCCAAGCAGCCATCATGAGGTAAATAACAACCTCTGTCCAGCTATTGACCTCTCTTGATGCTGACCTCACTTGAGAGTGGAATACTCCTTCTATTTTCCGCAGCTCCCTCGAGCCAGGCTCGCTCCTCTCCTGCAGGGTTTGAAGCTGAACCGTATGGTACCAAGGCAGGTCCCCAGTTAGAAACGAAAACACACATTAGCAAAGAGGAGAGAAACAGGCTAAAATTGGAAGTGACCATTTCGTGTTTGATGTTATTCAGAGGAGCCTGTTCTTCATTTAGGACATTAATAGTTGTAACAGAAGCTGTAATATTTCAACAACAGTGGTGATTAGGAGCAAAGAGGCAGCTAATCTCCATCTAAAAAGAGCTAACTAGCCCGTCCTTTAGCCCCCACCGCACTGTCACATTTAAATACCATGAATATTCACTGCTTGGCACCCAGCTGGCATCTGAGCTGTTTTGACACAAAAACCTTCAAACTCAAAGAGTTTTTAATCAGTCTGCAAGAGAGAGAAGAAGAAAGTGAGAGAAAGAAATAGGAACAGAGAAAATGAATCAATGAGTTCATCAGAGAGGGGACTACCCGAATCCAGTTAACCCCTTCCTTTCTCTGCAGACACAAGTGCTGTCTCTGCAGCTCTGCAGCCCTCTGCCTGGCTGCAGAGGATGGAGAAGGGTCACCCCATCCCCTCTGGGCACCCCCATTCCTTCCGAGTGCTCCATCCCGCCCTGAAGCTCCATATTCCCAGGTATCTCGCCCTAGCTGAGTGCCCATCCCCCCTGGCTACCCCATTTTCTCCAGCTGCCCCATCCCACCCCGATGCCCCTTGCTCCAGGCACCACATCCCCCTCACCTTCCCATACTTAAAATGCATCCCCTCCTGCTGCCTGTGCTTGTTTCCTGGTGCAGGGCTTATTTACTCTCACCCTTGGCTGTGTTTGTGGCTGGTTACCAATGTGTTTCTGTTACAGGCAGCACAGTTTCACTCACAATATGTGATGTGCTTTTGAGCAGCCAGTCCTTTTCCCTGCAAAGAGTTTTCATCTCAGAAAGAGGTTTGGCAGTGTTAACAGCTGCTATCTTCGGTATCCTTATTGGAGCCTCAAAGTTGCCTATAGCCCACACAAACCCTTTTTGCATCAGTTTTTGCAGCAGGATTAGCTATGCAGCTGCAAACAACATTTTTTCCTTGTTCTGCAAGAAAGAACCCCACAATACTCTGAGGCTCTAGTTTTACCTGCACTGTGGATCTGGGCACTGACGGATCACCCAGCAGTCCCTGTTTAACCTGGATCAGTCTTGTACACACAACTGCATTTCTGTCAAACTAGTCTGATCACACAACACAGAGTGTATGCAACTTTATGCTGTTATGTCAGCTTCGGGCTACTTGTGGTAGACAGTATATACCTGATTTGGCAGGACAGTCGGGTGATGTAGGACCTGGTCTACTACAACACCTTGCCATGAAAAACTGACTTGTCTAAATTTTCCAAATACGTTTAACTTGGTGGAGTGCTAGATCCACGTTTCATGTCATATGTCTGTGGCATTTTTGGTCTAATACTGGGAACTACAGTCAGATTTATTTTATAACCAAACTGCAGCCCAAGTCTCGAAACTGCGGCCCAGACTGCAGACCTCAAGTCACATGTGGGGAATCTGTACTTGCACCTCAGCTGGCTGCGTGTTCAGAGCACAGTGGGGAATTTTCTAACCTACTGTATCTTCAGAGAGTCTGTTGTGGACTTAAATTACACATAGGTTGTCTCATCTGCCTTCAGGGTCTTTAAAACTGAGATGCACTTCAAAAACCAGTGTCCCGATTCTCTTAAGGAATACCTAAGGAAAAGTGAAGAATAGAAGCCTGGGACTAATTTAGGCAGATTATTATGGTCACTGTAAAGGATACTGGTATCCAGGAGGAGTGTAAATGAGGTGATATCCTGCAGACCTTCAGAGGCAGGCCTGTGCTGAGGGGAGGCATTGCAGATGGGAACAAGGAGACAATTGCTGGAAATGCAAGACCATTGAGGAAAATAAGCAACTAGCACTGGAGGAGCAAAGTGGATAGCTCCATCCCGTTGGCAGCGGAACAGAAGATTTCTTGGGAGAACAAAAAAGAGTAGGGTTAGTGAGGAGCCTGAAAGCCCTGCTGTGTGGTGTGATGGAAAGGGTGCCACAGTGAAGAGACTGAGAGGGAGCAACGTGGTGGCAATGCTGTGTCAGATCTGCACTACTCTGATCTGTCTTGAGTGAAGGTGGGGCATTATGAGTGTCAGGGAAGGACCACAAAGAGAAATTAATGTAACCAAGATGGGAGATGAGAGTCTGGGAGCAGGTTTTTCCTGTGTGGGTTCCCTAAATCTGAAGCTAGTGTAAGATTTATAAGGAGTTACTGAAGCTGTGGTGACTTTTACTGAATACAGTCTGGGTCTCCTTTGGGAGGAGGAAGTAGAAAGATTTGGGTTCCACATTTCCTTAGTGCTCTCAAGATCCTCTGATGCTCTCCAGACTCAGAGATCTCACCCAGCACTTTAAAATTTACAAGCATGCACACAATAGCCAAATGTGCTTTGTAATCTCTTCCCAGGCAGCAGACAAAGTGGGTTTGCATAGATTGGTACTTACTCTATTCAAGTTGATAATTATTTTGAATGGAATACTCCCCATGAAGCATGCTTGGAACAGCATCAAACCCTATGGGCTGTGGGAGGCACATCCATCAGCTGTACTCCAGGGTGTATTCTGCAAAAGCTCACAGCTGGATAGGAGGATCCATTTTCCTATATACTTAAATGAGAAAATAGCATGAGCTTTTCTTAAGTCTCTTCTTGCCAATATCTGGCCACTACTTACAATGAATTTGCTCAGTTGCTATGAACTGTATCGGGGCATGCTTCCTTCGCCTGTGGAAAAATGTGGGAATCTAATCATCCAGCACAAAAACAAGGTGTTCCAGCTAATAAGTGTCTCAAAGACCCTGAGGACATGGATTTGGAGTGTTGTTGAGGAGGTGGATCAAAAGTATTTTATTTGACATTCACCTGCAGTTTTCTGTTGCCCCACTCCATCATATTTGCATACAGTCAATGTGTTCTGTATTAGGTAAGGAACATCCAGGCTGAGGAACAGGCAGCAGAGGTGTAGAACTGGCAGCACTCACTCACCTGAGTCCACCCTCTCCCCATCTTGTCCCGAGGGGAGTGCAGTGCTGCCGTGGTGGTACTTTGGGGGCGGGGGGGCTCAGATTAGACACAGAACAGAAGCTGTGGCCATCTGTGGTCATTAAAATTCCATGACACCTTTTGGTACTGAAGCAGTTGGTGCTAAAACTATCCCACTTGGAATACAAGGCAGACAAGCCTTGTGCAGCCTGGCAAGAGGATGGTGCCTCACAAGGCTTGCCAGGTGCTTTTCTGCCTGCTGTAGAGAATAGAGCAGACCCTCATGCTGACCGCCCAAAAGTCACTAATCCCAGAGCTGGGAGCAGAGCTGCTGCATCCCTGTGACCAGAAAACCACCTGAAAAGGAAAGAGCAAAGTATGGAGTGTGCAGCGTGCTAATAACAGACCTCTGTGGTTTCTGTGACTGGATTTACACAGTCGTGCTGGATGGTGGCACACAGATGGACAAGTCTATTTGCAGGTTGTATAACCATAGAATAGATTGGATTGGAAAGTACCTTTGAAGGTCATATAGTACAAATCCCCCCCAAAATTTTATAAGTTTTTGGGACCCTGAGGGTGCTTGCAGCAAGCCACACAGTGAGATGTAGCCTGACACTCCAAGGCTGTTATGTGAAATAAGAAGGCTCTCAAACTCTTGTAGGTTGAATCACATCTCTGCATAGAAATCTAAACTTGGGATGAAAGTAAAGGTCCTACAGAAAATGAAGTCTAATCCACTACACAGAGGGGTAGAAAGGGTGGGTGATGGAGGGGACCTTTAGTGACTGACAGCTTACAGACACTTGCTCTCATCCCCGAGTCTCCCTGCTGTGCAGTGACCCAGAGCAGGAACCAACCCAGCTGAAAAATAAACCTTTTTTTCCTGGAGTTGTTTTTTATCTGGATCAGTTCTCTGGTCTCATTCACCATGTGCTACACAGACATCATGCTGGCATATCTGGTGGTGCAGAGCATGGGTAAGGAAGCAAGGGATTCCTTAAACTGATGTAAGCACCCTGTTGTCAAAAATGCAACCACAGAGCCTGTGCAGAGTGCTCTCCTTGGCATCAGAGCTGACCTGCAGTCAGTCTGCACAGGAGGAGCAAGGGGGACAAATGCCTCTCTCAAAAAACCTGCAGAAATTATCAAGTAATTAGTCCAAATCATCCCTGCTGCTCCTGGGACCTTGCAGTTGATGCATAAGGATGCTGGAATCTTGTGTGTAGCATTCTGATACTGGAAAAGCTACAGCAGTACTTTTTGTCTTGGTTCCTTCCTGTCTCTCCTAACTCTCTTGTAGAATCATTTCTTCTCTGTCCTTCTCTGGGAGAGGAAAAAATCTGGCATTTCTCTTTGCTCCTTCCTTGGCACCTACTGCGTGCCTGGGAGCTCGCTCAACATTCCTGGTGTTGCCTTCAGTTTGGAAGGTGTTGTGTCTGCACCCCAGAGAAAGACCTGCTTGGTCTGGCATCGTTGTTGGAATCCCCACAGCACCATTCTGCGCCAGCCGCTGCCCAGGGAGCAAGCACAGGAGCCCTGGATGCTGTGAGCCCTTTCTGGCTGCTGTATTTCATCTCTCTGTGCTGCTGCTTCCCAGGCAGCATGTGATCCTCTGTGGTATGCTCTGGCTTCTATGGGGAATGGGTTAATGCTATAAAATGGTCTTTTTATGGAACCTCTTGGCAACACAGAAAACTTTCCCATTGCCGGGGTGTTCTTTTTATTCAACAATTTGTTCCCAGAAAGCAGCCCGTTTAAACAAGTTTTCTCTATTAAAAGTCTTCAGCTGCATTTGTTGTTTTTTGAGCTTATTCAGTGTGCTGTAAACTACAAAACAGTATCCTAC